TATAATGGAATGATCATTGACGTTGGTAACCTGAGAATTGTGGGACACTGCACTGGAACCTTGGTCTGATCTGACAGCGAGATATCATTTTTCACTTGTCTTCGTCCATACAAACGTAAAAAATCCTTTCTCTCTAGCCCAGGACCCAAAAATCGTTATGACAATATATAGAAGCCGGATAGTGGAAGTAAAGTCACAGTTTGGGTGTTTATTGTATGAATAAAGATTGTTGTTTTGTTTGCACATGCCCCCCCCCAGTGGCACAGCGGTATGTCTGCGGACTTACAACGCTAGAATCCGGGTTTCGATACCCGTGGTGGGCAAAGCACAGATAGTCCATTGTGTAGCTTTGTGCTTAATTACAAACAAACAAACAAACAAAATTGTTTGCACACTTGTATTCAGTTGTTTTCCCCGTGATTTCCTTATTCATTTTATATTCTGAATAACATTTCTGGAACCTGTTGTGCTGATACATTCCTGTGGGACATCACTGTATCCAAATATCATACCTTATCATTATGATAAATCAATAGAAGTTAAGTATTTCTAAAACATTAGTCATAACGTATACTCACTGTATATTGGGTCAATTTCAAGTTAAGATTGTGTTTAGTCATGGCGTGTCTTAGCAACACAGTGGATCAATTTCAAATTAAAATAGTGTTTAGTCATAACGTGTCTTAGCAACACAGTGGATCAATTTCAAATTAAAATAGTGTTTAGTCATAACGTGTCTTAGCAACACAGTGGATCAATTTCAAGTTAAGTGTTTCTAAAACATTTTGTCAAGTTTAATCGAAGCAGAATAATTTACTCTCACACACATTATAATATTTTGAAACCAGAGCAAATCGTTGATAATCCAAGAATTTAAGTATTTGCTCGGTTTCAGCTATTAAGTGTGTAATGATGCACACCATTCAAAAATATCACCTTATTCAGAATGGCTGAACACGAAACACAAACGGTCTACAACAACAAAACTTATCTGAGTCATATGTCAGTCTACAAATGTTTAGTTATAATGTTTGGCAATTCTTGCATGGCTTTTCTTACGCTGAAGCGACGAGCGTGCCAGACTATGAATCTTGAGGATCTCGATTCGCGTCCCGTTGGCGCAAAAAAATTCATACTCTGCATTTTGGGGCCTTGGGTAAATTATAAGCGTGAAGGCCCAGTCTCAATATTAATTTAGAATAGCTCAAGAGTAGGCGATGGGTGCTGTTGACTAGCTTTCCTTCTCTCTCTAGCTTATCAGCTCTAACATAGGGACATACAGCGCAGATAGACCTTGTGTAGCTTTGCACAAATATTCGAAACAAACAAACTCTATCCTAAAATAAATTAATTCCTAGTAAAGTAGGCCTTAAACACTTTGTCATGACGTGACTAACAATGTAATTAGTCAATCGTAAAGTAGGCCTTAAACACTTTGTCATGACGTGACTAACAATGTAATTAGTCAATCGTAAAGTAGGCCTTAAACACTTTGTCA